AAAGCACAAATGTACTAAAAGTATTTGAACTTTATTTAGCTATTTAAGCTAAAAACTTATTAAATATTTATTTTAATAAAATGAAAAAATTACAGCAATAAATGAAGTATTTATTTTGAAATATTTGTTTAGCTTTTTAAATTTATTCAAAAAAAAATTTTCTGTTATTTTATTTATTTAGAAAAAGCAACTGAATAGTACTCAAAAAAGCCTATCTTAATACCCAACTGCCTTTCATTGCTTATCGAAGCATCATTTCTTGCCAACGTCATCACTAATCCCTCAAATTCTCTTCTCCTTCGAATTTCTTTTTATATTTCTTCTTGCGCCGCTTTATTAACTTTGCTTGCTTACTAATTTTCATTGAAATTTTCTACCAAGAAATTTTAGAAACACACACGCCTAGTCTAACACATATAGACACTTGTAGGTAGAAGAGCTTTAACGTCTACTCTCCCCACGCTCCTCTTATCACATCTACTGATCTGTCGCTCATCTCACTTTTGAGTGTAAATTAATTAAAAGCTTTTATTGTGCTTGTCAAACAACGCTAGCAGCAGAAGTGGTGGCAGCTGCTGTTTGTTATTATTGTTATTTTTCGTATAAACTTATGTTGGCTGCGGCTGATACATTTTCTAAAGTCTCGTTAAAGGAATATGTGTGACTATGACAGGATTGCTCTTGCCAAACCAAGGAGTTAAACACATACCTATATATGTACATATATATGTATAGTATAGTACTACCAAGATACCATAGACATTTTTGCCATGCTAGTTATGTCTTGGTCTTTGAGTCCGTCTCGTTTTTAGAGTACTCGTATGTATGTAAGTACTTGTATATTTATTTATTTTTACTTCTGCATTTTCTTTATTTTTTGTGAGCACCAAGTAAGCCTTTTCGCAATCCCAACTCGGTTACTTGATTAACCTGCTTGTGGTTCGACTATTTTTGCTCGTTTTTCTTGACTTGCAATAAACTATTCCAGCTGTGCTGTAAATGAACAGCATGCCTGATGAGGCTTTTCCGGTAAATAAGTGGGAAAGAACTGCTGAAATTAATTGTGACAGTTGGCAAGTCAAAAATGAAAGAAAGAAAGTAAAATTAAATACGATGGTATAACTTAGAGTAGTTTATTTCGGATGACAGGGCACTATAGAACAGTAAAGACTTGGAATTATGTGGATTACTGAAGACTAGAAGAAGTAGAATCGAGGTATTTGTTGGTAAATTTTTTTCTTTTTATGTTGTAAAGGAAGAAATTTTAAAGCTTTCAGGCATACTTTCCGGTGCAATATCGTCAAATGTTTAAAATAATATTTTTTAAATTTATTAAGAAATTTTTAGTTTAAATATGCTAATAATTCGTGGTTTGAAGTAGTAAGCGTTTCCTAGTTTCATATAGGATATTTGGGAATATGAGCAAAGCGTGTACTACTTTTAGGAGTTTTTAATTTTTTTTTAAATAATAAATATTTTCATGCTGTTAAAAAAGTTTTTTCAATTATTTTAGCAGAATACTAATAATATATGTTTTTAAGACTTGAAAATTAAATAATTTAATCTACGATTTGAAAAGTTTTACATACATTTGGGCTATTATTTTGAAACGCTGCAAAACACTTTGAAGGTATTTTTAAAAATCTGATGATTTGTAGACTTGAGAACTCATTAATTTATTGTAAGATTTATTTAGTTATAAGAAAAGTGTTGGGGTGTTCCTTTGAATATACTTCAAAACACTTTGAACGCCTTCTTTAACAATCTCAGAACTACACAGACTCCTAAAACGCACTACAACATGCCACATATTGCATATTTTGAGTCGGGCTCTCCCATCTTCTCTAAACTGTTACAGCAACTAATATTTAATGAAAACTATAAATGTTTGCCATTACATTTTGCACAACAGTGGCAACCAAACGTTGCGCGCACATGCAACTGTACACTTTTATGCATACGGTATATATACTTGCAAAATATATTTGCATATTTTAAGGGGCTGCGCTTGAAACGCCATCAACTCGTTTGACACCCATAAACTAACAACTACTCGTGTCTAAAAGTTATGATTTATAATATTTTTAAGTTAAAATATGGTTATACTCGTACACAAGCGCTACTGCGCATAAAAATATGCAACATAAATTTGACGTAAACATGCATGCGCCAGTGTGTGTGCGTCTGCCAGGCACAATCTCGGACGCGCGCATTATACTATTGCATATTTCATGCACCAACACATGGAAATCAAATTTCTGTATAAGTTTACAGCAAACTATATGGTAAATGTAGATGTTGGCGCGCACAAAAGTATACTAACCACCCACTGCATGCATTAAAAACATTGTACAGCATTTTACACACGCATAGAGAAATATATTTATTAAATGCTTGTTATGAGTACCTAGGAGTCGTTATGCCATTGTATTTTCTCATGAATTGCATTATGCAGCATATCTGCAGGCGACATACGTTCTCACATACACCATACATACGTACTCAATGTACAGAATGCTCTGAAAAGTTATGTTTCAAAACTTTGTTTGCTTCACTGTATATACTCGTTGTTCTTTGAAATTCACTTGAAATTTTATTGATAATTAAAACTAAGTGTATAGTAATTACGAACTTCATAAAGCCATAGAAAGTATACTAAAGTTTTCGGTTGAAGTCGAAAAGCGAATGAAGCATGTTGAAGCCAATGTAAATGCTGTAAAGTACTCGTTAAACTTAAGCGAAAATTGCATTTGCTGACTACCAAAATTAGAAGTTATGCATATGTGCATGCTTTAAGCATACTTTTAGGCATACAAGTGGCGCTTAAAGTAAAACCATACAACAGCAACTACCATTAGTAAGTTACTAGTTAAGTAAATAGTTTAAACTTATAAATCAGCGTCTATCTAAGGCATCTGCGCCTTACTAGCCCCACATAAATATTTGTTTTACACCTAAAAGCAGATTTCGCTTCATGCATATTTGTGATAAATGCGTGCTGATAGTGCATACGCAATTACTTGACCTACATTTTGCGTGCAGCAAGGGGTGCGCTGCAGTCTGTTGGCTCATTTATGAACATATGTGAATTTTTGGTTAGCACACCGGCATGCCTGAAACTATGCAAGTGTAACGCTGAGGTAAGCCTAGATATGCAACTGAAAAGCTCTGTATTTGCTGAAAGCACTCAGCAAATTATGCGCACACTGCATTTGTTTAAGTGTCAATTATGTAGTAATGCATATATGTAATTATCTAAATATTTTCCAGTATATACGTCACATACATTTAGGGGCATACTTTGGAATGCTCAAATAACCCAAATCATAGCTTGAAATTGTAGAATTGTTTAAGTTTGCAATTTAGATTGAAAATACTTTAAAATTGTAGGTATATTAAAGAATCTATTTAAAAATAATTTCTGCGGTTATAAACCAAAAATATTGCATACTTTTGGAAGCTCTTATAAACAAATAAAAATTAAGGGATATAAAGAATCTAAAAATGGATAATGACATAAAATTGACATGACAGAATGCTTTAACTGTCTTTAGAACTCACATTTCAGATTTTTTTTCGCCTAAAAATATGCAAAGAAATTGTAGATATCGATATAAACGATTATGTGCAAATTAAATTTAAAAAAATAATTAAAAAGTTCTTAGCTGAAAACTTTTCACTTTAGTTTGCCTTAAAGTATGTTATATATTTTGCTTTTTTTATGTAACAACTGTATTATTAGCTGTTATCGGTACATTGTATCTCGTCATTTTGTTAGTATGAGAAACTCGCCTCCTAATAAAAGTAACAATTTTGCACTTGGAATTTTTCCCAAACCGGCGGTTTCGTGAGGAAATATTTTTATATAATATATACAGTATAGTTTAAGGCGTTCAATAAATAAAAAGCTATTAAATATTACTTGTATGAAACGCTAAAACAACGGGTTTTGAAAATAGAAAGTGATGTACCTGGAAGCTTTTAAATATCCCATTAAATCCCTTTTGCAGCTAAAAGTATGCAACGAATAATTTTCTTTAAGCGATCTAAGCCACTTTTCCGCAATATTCAACTGAACATTGTACTGCCAAAGCTACGCTTAGAATTGTCTAATCAACTCAATTCACATAATTACGCTTAAAAGTATGCTATTCTGCGGTATTTTTGCAAATTCATGCACTCTCTCTTTATTCCAACCATGAATTTAATGCAATTTGGTGTCAACTCATTTCTTAATGTTTTTTTTCTTTTTCTCCACATCTTCCTCGACAGGTCTCTACGGCAACGATGATTTCCACAATGGCCTGCTGCAGGCTTTTAGTTCCGGCAAACAAGTCGAAGGACTCGTGCTCAATTTAAAAAGACAGGTAAGTCTATAGATAAGTATATTGACATGTAAGACATGAAAATACTCGCGAAAACCGCACTGCTGCTGGCAGCTGATCCCAACAAACTACAGTCATCTGATGCGACAGTAATTTTGTCATTTAATACGTAATTTCATATTAACCCAATTTACTTTGTGACCACAAAGGGTAAGGGTAAAGAAAATGTTGTAACACAGATGTAGGATAAGAGAAAGCTATACGTTTAGTTGTATGTGTGTGTGCATAAAAAGTGTCATACTATAAAAGCTGGAATATGGAGTTGAGCTTGTATTTGAGTACAGCAAGTAATGCCAATGGCGTTCATTGCCTTAAGAAAATACAGTTTATACCCGCTAGGTGGCGTTGTGTGCCATAATCTTATTTATTGGTCATCACAAGAAGGGTCGAAGCGGTAAAATAGTGTGGGTAAAGCTTTAGTGTTGCGCTTTTATGTAAAAATATACATACTCCTTTATATGGTAGTGCGCTTTTAGGCGCATTGTGTATGGAAATTAAATTTCCAACCACTTACTGTTTAAAATTTGGCTCTACTATGCTCTCCTTACTCTTCTTGTAACTCAATTTACGGCTTTTGGGTTCATACAACATACTGCAGCACACTTACAGGCGCTTTCAACTAGGAGGACGTACTGCACGTTGTCTTAAACTCGTACATGTGTACACGCGTAAATGGGTGTGTGAGTTTTGGAATCATTGAGTGCACCCAATTTTTTGTTTCTGTCAGAAAAATTAATTTTCGTTTAACTCCTTTGCAATAAAAGAAAAAAATTAAATAAAATTTACACTCTGTTGTACATATATCGTTGAGAGATCATATACTTATGTATGCATGTATATATATGTATATTTATTTATTTAACTGTATGCACATGCAGTTGCAATACTTGCCAGTATACTGTTCTATATAAAATGAACAGCCATGGCGTATGAGTAACATTTTTACCTTGTGCTTGCCTTTTCTTTGACCAAAATATTTAATAACTAGGATAGAGTTGTTGTTTTTTAATTTATAAAATCGTTTTTTATTGTTTATAAAATGTTAGTAAAAAAACGCAAATAGTAAAAAAAAAAAGAATATTTGTCATATACACTTGTGCTCACACAATTAAGCCACATAAACGTTATGGTGTACAAATTCATGAAAGTTGAATTTTATTGATAAATCGGAAAAAAAAGTTTCACAAAATTAAAAGAAAGTACTTAAAATTTATTGTACTTATAGTTTTTTAAAGGTAAATTTTAATGTAAAAGCAAAAATCTGTTTTCTTCTTCATTGGTATGTATTTTTCGTGCTCATATAATTAAGCCACCTGCAAAAATAAGCTGTCAGATAAAAGAATTCGATGTTTTGTTCAAA